TGTAGAACAATAGTGGAGATGGGGCTGGGCAAGAAGATTGTATACATACCATAGACAGCCTCAAATATTCTGCAAAAGAATTTGAACTTTATTCTGTATATGGTTGGAAACAACAAATGGCTTTTAAGTCCAAGAGTGATGCAATCACAGTAACACATTAGGAAGGGTATTCAGGAGGCACCAGGCAGAGCCCTGCGGCTGGAGCTGGGAGCCTGGCCAGGAGGCTGTTGCAACTATTCAGGTGAAAGGTGCCAAAGACCTGCTTGGTGGCAGTTGGGACAGAGAGAAGAGAGCAGATGGGGACGTATTTCAGAAGTGGAGCTGACAGCATAAAGGGCCTGACTGGCTGTGGACAGTGTCTGGAGATGCCAATAACAGCCAGGGCTAGGGTGAAGATGCCCAGTCAGCATTTGACGCCAGGGGACTGAGACTGTCCGGGTTGGTGAGGAAGTAGAGAAGTTGTCACATGGGATTGATCACTGAATTCATCAACCTGGATGAGGTCAAGGTCACAGTGCAGAGAGGGAGGCCCCAGATATATCACATCATCCCTGACTCCATTCACATGGATCAGGGGTCCTCAAACTACGGCCCGAGGGCCACATGCAAATACAAATATTGTATTTGTTCCCCGTTTTGTTTTTTTACTTCAAAATAAGATATGTGCAGTGTGCATAGGAATTTGTTCATAGTTTTTTTTTTAAACTATAGTCCGGCCCTCCAACGGTCTGAGGGACAGTGAACTGGCCCCCTGTTTAAAAAGTTTGAGGACCCCTGACATGGATCGTCTCACTCTGGTGCCCAGTCCAGAATTCTTGGCAGCCTGAGGTGGCATCCCCCAGAGAGCAGAGTGCCCCACCATCACGCAGATGCGGCTTCCATCCCCGCCCCCTTTGCCCTTCCTCCCACAGCACTGACGCTCATCTTCCCCATCTCCAATCTCCCAGGGACACACTCAGGACACCAACACCTACTTCCTGTGCCGGACACTGCGCTCCCTGGGGGTCCAGGTGTGCCGAGTCTCTGTCGTCCCCGATGAGGTAGCCACCATCGCTGCCGAGATTACCTCTTTCTCCAGCCGCTTCACTCACGTCCTCACGGCGGGGGGCATCGGTCCCACTCATGATGATGTGACCTTTGAGGCAGTAGCACAGGCCTTTGGGGATGAGCTCAAACCACACCCTGAGCTGCAGGCCGCCATCCAGGCCCTAGGCAGGCAGGGCTGGGAGAAGCTGTCACTGGTGCCCTCCTCTGCCCGCCTGCATTACGGCACCGACCCTCACACTGGCCGCCCCTTCAAATTCCCACTGGTCTCGGTCCGCAACGTCTACCTCTTCCCCGGCATCCCAGAGCTGCTGCGGCGGGTGCTGGAGGGGCTGAAGGGACTGTTTCAAAACACAGCCGTTCAGTTCCACCTGCGGGAGCTGTATGTGGCCGCTGACGAGGCCTCCATCGCCCCCATCCTGGCTGAGGCCCAGGCCCACTTTGGACACAGGCTTGGCCTGGGTTCCTACCCCGACTGGGGCAGCAACTACTATCAGGTGAAGGTGACGCTGGACTCACAGGAAGAAGGGCCCCTGGAGGAATGCCTGGCCTACCTGACCGCACGTCTTCCTCGGGGATCGCTGGTTCCCTACGTACCCAACGCCATGGAGCAGGCCAGTGAGGCTGTATACAAACTCGCCAAGTCAGGTAGGGGCCTCTGGTGGGGGGGAGGGCAGAGGTACCAACCCACAGGTGCCACCCTAGGTCTAGGAGAAGGTAGAAGATGACGACAATTGATTCATTCATTCTCCCGATAAATTTTTTTTAATATATTTTATTGATTCTTTACAGAGAGGAAGGGAGAGGGATAGAGAGTTAGAAACATCGATCAGCTGCCTCCTGCACACCCCCCACTGGGGATGTGCCCGCAACCAAGGTACATGCCCTTGACCGGAATCGAACCTGGGACCTTTCAGTCCGCAGGCCGACGTTCTATCCACTGAGCCAAACCGGTTAGGGCTCTCCCGATAAATACTGAGTACCCACTTTCACCAGCACTGTGCTGGGTGTTGGGGAGATAGCTCGATAGGACAGATGTACACCCACTCCATGGACAAGTAGTGTAGTAGGAAAGGTAAACTTCGAACAGATAATGATGCATGAGACATCAGTGTGAGGGGGATGGCACAGCCAGGAGCTCGGCCTTGCTCTGGGGTCAGAGAAGGCTTCTCTGGGCGAGTGATGAAGAAGCTGCATGACAAGGAGCCTTCGGCCAGACCAGGAGTGGGGCCCACAGTGTGAGAGGCACAGAGGAAGCAGGAGGTTTAGGAGAAGGGAAAGAAACCAGGACCCTGGAGGGGGAGACACTGAGAGGAGAAGTCGCTGAATGGCGGGCGGGGAGCAGACTCTGCCGGCCTCGTAGGCAGCATGAAGGAATCTGGACTTTATCCTAGAAAACATTGAAGGGTTTTAAGCAACAGCATCATGGCTGCATGTGTCACATGGGATTGGTGATGGCCTCTTCCCTACCTGCCTGGCAGGGTCCTCTCTAGGGAAAAAGGTGGCAAGTGCCCTGCAGACCATTGAGACCGCCCTGGCTCGGTACAGGCTCACCCAGCTCTGCGTGGGCTTCAACGGGGGCAAGGACTGCACTGCCCTCCTGCACCTCGTCCATGCAGCTGTGCAGAGGTGAGCCTCTCCGCTGGAGACAAGGCCCCGAGACACCGAGATACCTGATCTGCCCCGTTTTCTGGTCCCCCGTCCTAGGAAGCAGAAGGGAAAAGTGGCGTCTGGGTGGCGTTTGGGTGGGAGTTAGTCATAGGGACCGCTCAGTTCCATTCCCCCACCCTATTTATTGAGCATCTGACACATGCCTGGCCCTGCATGTGGAAGGTCCTGGTCCTGTTGAGGAGGTGAGATTTGCCCACCTGAAACAGGGATGTGTGCTCCAGGTTTGAGAGGTGAGAGATCAGAGCGGGCTTCCTGGAGGAAGTAGGTTGCGATGGATGGGAAAGCCAAGGAAAGGGTGTGCATCCCAGGAGCCAAGGAGAACAGTGCAAGCTCCCTGGAGAGCATTCCCCTGCCCGTGCCGGCCAGCCTGTGGTTTTCTCCCCCTCCCCCACTAGGCAATGCCCTGGCACTCAAGAGCCCCTCCAGATCCTATACATCCGCAGCATCTCCCCTTTCCCTGAGCTGGAGCAGTTTCTACAGGACACCATCAAGAGGTACTAGGGGCCTGAAGGTTGGGGCTCGAAGAGGGGTTTGGAGAAGCCCATTTGTGACCCCCAGCCCTCTTCCTTCCTCAGGTACAATCTGCGGGTGCTGGAGGCTGAGGGCGAGATGAAGAAGGCCCTGAGCCAGCTGCGGGCACAGCACCCCCAGCTGGAGGCTGCCCTGATGGGCACCCGCCGCACGGACCCCTCCTCCTGCAGCCTCTGTCCCTTCAGCCCCACCGACCCAGGCTGGCCCTCGTTCATGCGCATCAACCCGCTGCTGGTAATGCAGAGGGAGGCCTGACTGCCGTCAGTCCTGCCCCCTGTCAGTCATTGCACCCTGGCTTCCTGAGGTAGGGACATTGGAGCCTGGGGCTTGGAGGAAGGGGCCCCACCATCCAAGGAAGGCTGTGCTATTTGTTCATTCCGCCTTTGGACCACTATTTACCGAGCACTCATTCGGTGGCAGGCACTGTGCTTTCGGCTATGGACGGAACAGTGACTTAGACCCGTGCTGTCCACTATGGTAACCGTTAGCCATTTACTTACACTCAAAGCACTGCACACCTTAAAAGGATGGACAGCTTAAAAGGATGGATTTCGGTGGCGTGTGAATTATATCTCAGTTACAAAAATTAAAACACGATTCAAAAGTAGTTCTGCAGTTGCACCAGCCACAGTTGAAGTGCCCACCACTCTAGCACAGCAAGAGAACATTTCATCGTCCCAGAAAGTTCTGCTGGACAGCTGGCTGACACAGACAGAGCCCTTCCTGTCCTCCGGAGCTGACCTGCCACTGGGGGATGGGTTGGGAGTGGAGAGGGACAGGATGAAGGCCTCTCTTTCTCATTGCTTGGCCTACACAGAGCCAGATGTACCAGCCAATCAGATAGCAGGCCCCCCGAGGCCAAGGGAGCAGACGAACCCTGAGTGGGCCCCTTCCCAGGCAGCAGAGGGTGGAGTGGGAGAGGGCAGTGTTTGTGACTCTTCTCCGACTCTGACCTCCCAGGACTGGACCTACAGAGACATCTGGGACTTCCTGCGTCAGCTGTTCGTCCCCTACTGTATCCTGTATGACCGAGGGTAAGGGTGTGGGAAGAGAACGGGTGTCGGGAAACATGTAGGTGCCGAGATAGGGAGAGCCACCTCACCACACCTCTGCCCTCTGTTCCCCGCCTCCAGCTACACGTCACTGGGGAGCCGGGAGAACACGGTGCAGAACCCAGCCCTGAAGTACCTGGGCCCGGGAGGACAGCCCACCTACCGGCCGGCCTACCTACTTGAGAATGAAGACGAAGAACGGAACTCGCGCCTGTGACCGCCACCCCTGCCCACTCCAGAAGAGAAAGAAGGAGGCCGCCCCGGGGTGTCACCTCAATAAACAGTGCCTCTCCTCTCACGTGCCGGTGTCTTCCTGCTCCCAGGGGGATGGGGAAGGCAGAGCGGGCCAGGCCCCTGAGGGGCTGGGAAGGAGCTCACGTGGGTGATCCTGACTGAATGCCAACCACCAGGGGGCAGAAGCAGGGAGTTGTGCCAACCACGGGGGGTACCAGCAACCAGGCAGGGCACCCAAGGTTTCTAGGCCTCAGGCTGGAGGGAGGGAAGCGGAGCTGGCCTGGCTGTGGAGGATGAAAGACGGAGTGGCCAGATCCTCCTCCTCCTAACCCCACCCTCCTTCATGGGGGCTGACTCAGCCCATTCTCAGGCCCAGAACCTTCCCTGTGTCAGACCTTGGGGCCTTTGTCCCCTGTAGTCATGAGCCCTGGGGGGGTGGGGAGGGGCAGTGTTGATAAAAGGTACCAGGGGCAGCTCCCACACCCTCCGCAGAGCTGCTGCCTACATGCAGGCCCGGACACAGCCCCTAGCCCAGGCCCTACCTTTCTCCCTCAGAGGGGCCCTGCCAGACGCTGGGCTCCGGGCGCCTGTTGTAAAGATGGGCTCCAGGTGGGAGGGCCTGCAGCGCACCCTGAGGGAGGTCCTCTACTTCCTCCTCTGCTGCTGGTGTGTCAAGGAGCTGCTGGATTAATGGCAGCAGGAAACTGGCCTCGTGCAGGTGAGCAAGGCAGGACAAGCAGACAGAAGGCATGGCTGCTGCCGCTGTGGCAGAGACTGTCTCCCAGCTTTCTCTTCTCTTTCGTGCCCAGCTCTACCCCCACCGAGACTCCCGGGCCGGCTGCATTGACCAAGGATGGGCCACAAACAAGGAGTGAAGAGCGGATCCCGCTTTGGGTCGGTGCCGTCTGTCTCAGACCTGCCTCATCTCTGGGCCTCCATTTCCAGCCCCCACCTCTGGTGGAGCCCTGGTGCGCGGGACCTTGGCCTGCTGGCTAGGACCCTAACAAGCCTGCAGCAGGACCTGGCACTTCTCCAAGCCTGGCACAGCGAGCCCACCAGCCCAGATGGTTGATCTTGCCGTATCCTCTTAGTGCCAGGAAGGGGCTGCCCGCTAATATCTCTGTTTGAGAATCCCTGCGCTATAGATATAATAAATAGGCCTTGTGGCTAAAAGTTCTCCATGTCAGAAAAAGTCCGCACTGCAAGGGACTTGGAGCCGGGGGCCGAGCAGGGAGGGAAGGAGGTTGTTCTAGATCAGCGGTTCTCAACCTGTGGGTCTCGACCCCTTTGGAGATCCAACGACCCTTTCACAGGGGTCGCCTAAGACCATCGGAAAACACATATATAATTACATATTGTTTTTGTGATTAATCACTATGCTTTAATGATGTTCAATTTGTAACAATGACAATACATCCTGCATATCAGATATTTACATGACGATTCATAACAGTAGCAAAATTAGTTATGAAGTAGCAATGAAAATAATTTTATGGTTGGGGGTCACCACAACGTGAGGAACTGTATTAAAGGGTCGCGGCATTAGGAAGGTTGAGAACCGCTGTCCTAGAGGGTTGGCGGGGGAGGGGTAAAGGGAAGTAAAGTGCCAAAATAGGGCGGGATGGGTAAGATCTCACCTGCCCCTCTGCGCCCTGGGACCCTCTCAGGCCACAGGACACGCGCCTGAGGAGGAGGAGCGGCATGACACCAGAATTCCCAGCGGATTTCCTAGGATATAAGGCCCTCGGTGGTGTAGGAAAGACCGGTGGACGAGAGAGGTCATAGCGGAGTGTTCTGGGGAGCCACACGCCATAAACTGGATTATTATAGTGATGATCTTGCGAGGGTCCCACATTTTCCCAGTAAGGCCGTTGGAATGGGGTGTGTGGTGGTCGTTTCACCAGCTCCAGAGCGCAGACCCCCAAGGGCCAAGGCTCTTATCTGCATCCCTATTTGCATCTCGTTTGCATGTGAGTTATTTCCCCTTCAAAAGGCAGAAGTCGCAGCCCCTTTCTCAGTTACTCCCAGCAGAGGCTTTGCGTACGCCAGGCTGTCCGGGCGCACCCACACCCATTCTTCCGTCCATTCTCTGGACGCTCTGACCTCCAGCCCTCAGCACCCTTCCATATTTCGCCTGCACCTCTACCTATCCCAGCTCCCAGGCAGCGCCCCAAACTCTTAGCTGGGTTCCAGGGACTTGGGGACCTGCGCCGCCTGGCGGCTGGCTGGAGGGAGGCTGAGAGCAGAGGGGTTCTCTGATTCGCCTTCCCTGGGACGTGGAGTTTTGGAAAATGTTCCCCCGAACTTCCTGAAGCTAAATTTATCTCCCCCGGCCCCGGGGGGCGCAGAGATCCCCGCGACGATTAGCCTTGCGAGGCAGCCGGCGCCCGCCCTGAGGGAGGCGCGGAATAGGCGCCGAGTTATAAATAGCGCCGCCCGCAGGTGTGGGGGGAGTCGGGGGGAGTCGGCGGGAGGGGGGCAACCCTCGCAGCCACGGCCCCTTCAGGTGGGTTGGGCGGTCGCGGTGGGGCGCCGGGGGGCGGCGAGCTGGGGGTGCTGCGGTCTGAGCGCCCCCAGCGGTTTCCTGGGCGGCGGGTTTTTCGAGGGAAGCGGAGGCAGCGGGG